CACAGACAGCAGAAAATAGTTTATTGAGAGTTTACTAGATATGTCACTAAATTGCTGAAAATGTTGAGATAGTTTAAAGGTTACTGAAAATCAGAACCATGAGCAGAACATGCCATGGATTCGGCCTCACAAGGACATCACTGCTCAGATTTCTGAGCACTGGATTCAGCTGCCTCCACATTAGGGACACTAGACACTTCATCTCTGTTCAAATCGTGACAGCACTGGCAACCAAACTGGATGGGGATAATGTTGTCCTGTAGCCTGGCTGTTGCTATGACTTCCATTTTTTCAGTATTCTCTGCCTTTTTGCTTTCCTCATTCCTACTTCAAAGCCCAGGATAGATCACAAAGCCTCATTCTAGTCTCATGGGAAGCTCAAAAGTGAACATTGATTTCCTTGAATGGGAGTTTCATTAAGTTGCACCAGACATTGACTATCATCCTCCTTACCTCGGCAGATTTGCTTATCTATAAGCAACAGAGAGCAGACAGGCCAAGAAGAAAGGAGAAGCCTAGGGCTTTAGTGGTATCAAAGGGCTAGAACACAACCTTGAAGTTCAGAGTTTCAGAGAAAAGCTAAAGCTGAGGGGTCCAGGTTCGGAAGAAGAGAAAAGAGAACAACAAAGAAGGTAGCTCAATATTCTATACCACTTATCTCTCAAGGCATTTTCTTTTTCTTTTCTTTTCTTTTTTTTTTCCTTTTTTTATTTGCAAGGACCAAGAGGCAGGAAGACAAACATAAACATGAAGCTAAGAGTCGTCAAGACTAAGCAGAATCTTTAGTTATCTTACAGTATTTGAGTTTTAAAAGATAGCATACAGGGCATGCCTAGATGGGTAACTAGTAAATATTCCAGGTTTGTTGTTGAGTTCCCTAAAAATCTATGTATTTCAAAAACAAAAAAGCAAAACATTCAGACCTATAAAGTCTGAATCCCAGACTCTAGTACACATATTACAATTGTCAGATGAAAATTAAGTCCTTTCCGGAGGAAGATAAAAGCTACATGTCTAATTTTTTTCTTATACAGTGACTACCATTACATCTAAAACTACCAGACACATCTAAATACAGTACTAAATTATTTAAAACCAACACAGAAAATTCAACATACCACCCACATATGGTTAAGACTTTGGAGTTAATAACATTAAGACAACTGTAACTAATTATACCTAACAAGATGAAACTTTCATAGGAGAATTCAAGCAGAGGAAATAATAATTTGGATAATCGAAAAATAAGAAAATAAAGTAGAGTGATTACTAACTCAGTAAATGGTTTTAACAGCAGAGTGAATGAGCAAAATGAATCAGTAAATTACAATAAAGG